CGCGACTTTTACTGGCCACGCCAGTATAAGTTTGTGCGCAAGTACTTGCGTGCTTGCGAGGTGTGTCAACGAGTGAAGCCTAGTCCTTCACTCCGTGAACCATTGCAGCCTCTACCTGTTCCGGCAGAGTGCTGGGAGTCCGTATCAATGGACTTCGTCTTTGGGTATCCCAAAGACGCTCACGGGAATAATGGTATTCTCGTGTTTGTAGACAGGTTCAGCAAGATGGAACATCTTGTTGCTGTACCTGAGTCGATCACAGCAGAGGGCTGTGCTCGAGTGTTTATCGATACAATCTTTCGACTGCACGGTTTACCCCGTGATCTTGTGTCCGATAGGGACCCCCGGTTCACGGCTGAGTTTTGGCGTTCCGTGTTCCAAACACTTGGAACACGTCTCACAATGTCTACTTCTGACCATCCAGAAACTGATGGTCAGACTGAACGCGCCAATCGCGTCCTCGAAGAGATTCTTCGAGGGTACGTCCACTCGTTTACGAGTTGTAGTGAGTTCTTGTCGATGGTCGAATTCGCCATCAACAACTCAGCGCATGCTTCTACGACGCATACACCGTTCTACGTGAATGGCCTTCGCCATCCACGTGTCCCCACCTTAGTAGAAGGTGACTCTAATTCAAGGGGGGAGGAACTCGCTCGAGCGAGAACCAATCTGGCTCTTGCTCATCACGCGACGACGTTATGGTCGACGCGAAAGTAACCGAAGTCGTACCATTCGACTTCGGTGAAGAGGAAGAAAGTAAGAGCGATGACGCTCTTACTGACAACGATGCTGAAGATATCAGCATCGTTCGAGGTATCACAAGTGAGAACAGTAATGTTCTCACTGAATTAGTAACCGATATCTCTGCAGTGCATTCACAGTGCACTGCAGCCAAAAGCAACGAGTCAGCTAAGGATTTCCTGCTGACTCGTGAAGCGGTAGTCCGTTTCGTGCAAGATTTCATCGCGGAAGCGGTGGACAAGCAAAAACGAAACGCAGACAATAATGGAAGGGTAAATGCTCAGACATTCATTGAAGGTGATTTAGTTTTACTGTCAACAGTAAACCTACCTAAACATGTAGTGACTAACGTGGGCAGCAATAAATTGTTGCCCAAGTACATCGGCCCGTTTCGTGTATTGCGCCGCCTAGGCAACGCATACACGATCGAGTTGCCACGCAGGATGCGTACGCATCCTACGTTTTACGTGGGACGTCTTCGTCCGTACGTTCAGTACGCGGCTTCTTCGAACGACGAACATAGCCATTACTCTCAAGAATCCCCTTCAGATTCTTGTTGTCACGAACCAGATTCGATATCTGGTCGTGTAGAGATGAGATCTTCCCATGATATTGGACGATCTTCTGACGAGCTGTCTCCAGCTCATTACTCAGAGAATGAAGTCGCCGCTCATTCTCCAATAGTGCGACAGCATTGTTCGCCCGAGACCTCTCATGGTCAAACCCAAGCTGTCGCACAATGTCCTCTAAGCGGCGACGCTTATCCCGTTCGTGATCAACATCACAACGGAGCTCACGAGTTACACGGGTAAACCCGTCTAACTCAGCAGCCAAGTCCGATGAAAGAATCGGACAGGGTTTTCCCTCCACCACCGCATCCGCTGGTGGACTTCCATGGTGGGAAGCGCTTCCTCGTGGAACGCTTACTAAAGCACCGCGATGTGAAGGGACGTCGGACGAGTTATCTCGTCCGGTGGCGTGGCTATCCGCCTTCGGCGGATAGCTGGGAACCTCGGGCCCAACTAATGGCCGATGTTCCCGGCTTTGTCGAACAGTAAGACAAGGGGCACCCGATGGTGAAGGACCATCGGAAAACGAGTGCCCAGCGCGTTCGTAAAGGGATTGCAAAGTAGCAATCCCTTCACGCATCTCAGAAGAGATGCGAGCCCTCCACCAGGGCTCAGTAAGGAGGTACGCCTCATTAGGTGCTCTTGATGAGGTGCTCAGGCACCCCGGGCATGGGTCGCTCCAAGAGAGGCATAACAGGCCTGCCTCTCTAGATAACCAGTGCAAACGATAGCATGCACCGGAAGTACTTCGTTTCTCAAACTTCTTGCGGCTAGCAAAAAGTCTTTGAAACCAAGCCTCTTTCCCAACGTTTAAAACGTTGGCGATAAACGCGTTCCAAGATTGGAGGAACGCGTCGGCCTCACGCTTCTTGTGTGGGCCATACCATCGATGTTCAAGGACTACATCGATGTAATAATCGTTCTCAGTGCGAAAGTTCTTCGCACTGGCGTCAAGGCCATGAAGCTTTGACGCATCAAACAACGGTATGGGAAACCGTTCGTTGGTCTTTCCAGACCAACGATCAAGCAGATGCTTAGGTAGCATCCATGGCTTGCGATCAGGAGCAAGACGCAATACGTTGCGGTCTAAAGCCTCCTGCGTGGTGTCAACAGAAGTACCGACACCACGAGCATTAGTGTCAACAGAAGTACCGACACAACGTGCATTGATGTCAGTAGAAGCACTGACATCACCCTTACCGACCCTACCCGAGTCACTATCCTTCGACTCGTTTGGCGAGTCGTCTGATTCATCAGACGACCCGAACATTTCACGGTACATTGATTCACTCAATGTACCACGATCCCTCTTCGTAGCATTAGACGACGAGGTATCACCCCGGGGAGAGCCCGGGAGTGGAATAGGTGACTTTGAGCCGGATGCGTGATCCGACTCACCAGAGTAGTCGACGACTAACTCTGGGTCAACATCTTCACGTGGCGAAGCGCTACGTGAACCTGCAACAGGCGTTGCAGGCTGATGTTGACTTCCAGCAGACACATTAGTGTCTGCTTGCTGAGGCTGTGAAGCCTCAGTAGCGGCTGCACACAGGCGTGCAGCCGAGCTCTTGGCTGCCTTAGCAGCGACGCGCATTGACTTTGTCATAGCGTAATTGTTGAATGAAAGAAAATTCAACAAATTTTTCTTTCCCATAGTCATTAAACAGTCACTAATGTGACTGTTGGTTGAGGGGGGGGGTGATGTAAGGGGTGAGCGCGTTACATAATATTGACACTTATATGAAGTGTCAATAAAATATTATTATAACTTATAATATTTTGACAATATTACCTTTTCTTATAATATTGTTCCTAGATCTCCTTGAAGTTGGAGATGCCCTCTTATTGGTTGATATGGGCCATCATATCAACCAACGCGCTGACCAATGACCGATGGACGCGCGCAATGAGTGGAGGGCAAGTTGTCGACATACATAGTTGTAGTTTAATATAGTTAACATAGGTTATAACAGATTAGTTTATTAAGATAGTTAACAATATTATTTACAGTTTTTCTTTTCCTCTACTTCTAAGCCTTTATTTAGAAGTAAAGCTTCCTCTGCCTCTTGTGTAAGAGAGGTAATTGAGGCACCTGCTTTCACTGTAATCAGTGAAAGTAGACTATACTGTAATCAGTATAGTCGGAGGGTGCCCCGTTACAGGTCGGGTACCGTACGTATTGCTGATGCTGATAATACTTTGCACGACGCGTATTGAACGTTTTCGGAGAAGCAAGAGGTCATATTGTGTGATATTAATATATTAGCGATATATTGCACGTTGCGGCTGGCTTGACACTTTGGACTAAAAGATGTCACCATTGTAACGATCGACGTAAACTTGACTTTCCTATCGTTATCGCACTTTTTAGTTTCATGTCAGTAAAGCCAGATGTAATGGCTACTTTTGGGAAGGCGAACACACATTTCATGCAATTGACTTTTCACTTTTTGTACTTATTGTTTGTTTATAAATTGGCTTTTGTAACTTTAGTCGTCCCGTGCTTCGTAGCTTAATCATCGAAACAAAACCTTCTTTCGAGTTAGTTTTCGTTTTGGGTTGAAGTGTATTTGATATTGGGTGGAGGGCTTCAAGTACGGAAGTACCTACTACCGCGCCATCCCACATGGAAATACCCACGACGGACTGCATCAGCGGCATTACAGTGAGCTTAGACCCAGACCAGCTTGCGTCATCGCTCTACAGCAAGAAAGTAATGAAATACATTGAGGTTTGCCGCAAACTACATCGATGAGGATCAGCGGACGGTAGCCGACTGCAAAGCCAGAGGCTCCAAAAGAACCATGATGCAAGAGCATCGTGTTCTTTGCGAATCCACTCATCTACGGATTCCATGGAGTGTGCTCAACTCTATCGTGGACAAACACGTATACTGTATTGTGGCCTTAAAGAAACTACAGGTTTGTCGGTACCAAGATTCAAAAAGGGCACTGACAAGAACTTTATGACGCTCCAGGACTCAGCGCGGGGAAGTGCGTGGCAGACAGCAGCTTTGCAGCAGACGTCATCAATGTATGGGCTACGAGAACGAGACTAAGATAACAGTTTGCGTGACTCGAATGCTGCTAAGAGTGAAGAATACACTATAGCTCATAATCGTGGGCAAGCCTGCTGGCAGAAGCTTATATGCCATTGGACAAGAGAAAGATGGGAGATTGGACGTCTCCAAAGCTTACGTGCAAGCAGACGCGCGTCAGGACTATCCAAGATGGCCCAGGAACAGCTAATTCGTGACACTCCGACGAGGTTGGGCCGCCTATTGCACATCCTGAGCAGCCTTTGCGCCACAATGCAGCCGTAACATCTCAGCAAGCCGACGTGGCCATCGCCGGTAGCATTCATGAATTTTGGGAAACCAGCATGAGAGAATCTTGAGCCATTGTGAAGCGAGAGTGCCGGCGAGCCGACACAAAAAATCACGGAACCCGTCTGATGATACGTCAGCGTGCCATAGCCAGACAGCCCCAAGAGCCGGGGCTTGAACACATCCAGCGATGCTAACTAGGATTAGAACTGACCGCAACCTAAATAGACTCGCCTGTCTCTCTTAAATCGAATCCGCTCGTAATCTCGTGTACTTACCTACCTCTCCTTCAGTCATTTCACAGTCGCCATTTATCAAAACTGAACTTAGCCGCCAACCCGCAAGCACGTCTGCCCAACCAAACCATGCACCTTCCCTGCGTCCTAATCTTTTTCGCTGTTGCTACCCGTCCAGTGGGTGTTGGTGCACATGTCACAGATGACCAATATGAGGTCGTGAGGCACTTGAGGGTTCAAGAGCGCGCACACGGCAAAGACAAAGATGAGAGGATGAATAACCTCAACTTGAGCGGAGAAGAGGAAATATCTACCTCAAACCTTCACAATTTGGTGGAAAAGTATAGAATGGAGATCCCAAACTTTGATTTATACAAGCCTTCTCCTACCGACATTTTTTTGGATAAACTGCTGAAGTTACAGGAAACAAACTCGAGACCTACATACGCGTTCAACTTTGTTATGGCTGGATTTAATGAAGAGGAGCTGTCCATGATATTTAAAGAAGCGAACGAACGGTTTGCTGCGCAGAAACTAGACCCCCAGACAGTTTTCAAACTGTATCAGCTTGACCTTGTAGGAGACACCCTTTTCAAACAGCCGCAGATGGTCTACTGGGTCCAGTACAGGGACTTATTTATTAGAACCTACCCTGTATCCACGGTGCCCAGATCCTTGCTTTTCACACTGCTAAAGTACTTTGGTAAAATCGAATATTTGGTGGTTGCTGTAACTAAGGCCCCAGAAGACAAAAACGCGTTGCGAGTGGAAGCCGAAATTAGAATATTTTGGTTTGAACATCAAAATTATACTCCAGAGCATGCCTTCCTTTGGCTCCACCTTAACAAGTATACCGACTACTATCTTTTCCCCTTTTGGATAAAGTACGTTACCTACTACAATTCCAAAGTATCTGACCATTCCAAAGTATCAATGCTCTCGGTTATGGAAAAATATTCACTGTCGTTGCTGACAGTGTTAGGCACTGTTGAAAAAACTGATGCCACCTTGCAATTAGAAAATGAAGTGAAAAATATGCTGCTGCATAATTGGAGGCGAGAAAAAAGAGATGGCGAGGAAGTGCTCCACGACGTGCGTACAGGACCGAAACCGAATACGGTATATGGAAAAGCGCTAGAGCAAGCTACAATTGCTTATATAAAGTCGCTTCCGGAGTGAGGAATCATTGGTCCCAGTAAAGCTGCTGATTCCGCGACGTATGCGCATAGTTAGTGGAGATCGGAGAACTTGTGTCGCTTTGCTGCTAAGAAAGCCTTAACTAGTCATCATAGTTACCTACCTACTCGATAACTTTAATTCGTTCCCAACGTTATAGAGTTTGCTAAATGTATTCGTTTTGTAATAAGTTCACCAATCCTATTTGCTAAAACATCAACTTCTGATGCAACACTGGATGGTAACCCAGCTCACCATGGTTGGTAACCCCGCTCACCATGGTTGGTCTTCAAGATCCACTGACGATAATGGAATAGGGCTAGGAAGCTAACACCTTTCCTATGTTTAATAAATGTGCTGTTATAAGCGTTCATTTTGTAGCATCGCAGTCTGTAGCATCGCAGTCTGTAGAATTTGTAGCCGTGACAATCAACTTAAACAGACCGCCAGCTAGTGTGTACGTCCTACACTACAGCTATCATCCCGAATGCCATGCAAACCACGACCGCCAGTACTTGACGCGCCGTCCACAGCAGATGCGGTGAAGCCATGCTCATAGACGACTCTGGCCCATGGTGGCGACTGGATTTTTTTCTCTTCTTTTTCCCGTTCTTTTGGATCTCCAAGTCGTTCTTGCTGGCCACGCATTTGTACGTCTCATCCTTGTTGTCCAGCGCACAAAAAGAGTCGTTTGCCAGAACGTGGCCTTTGACAGAGCACGGTTGAGCTCCAGTCATTGGACAACTACCACTTTCACCAAGATCAACGTTACCACACTTGCTGCTTAGTAAAGCACCTGGCACAAGGCAGTAGTCCGAAGCTCCCATAAGCGAGACACGACGGACCGATCGGCAGTCACATTCATATTCCAAGCTCAAACTGCCAGACCCCGACTCCATACTCCAACTCCAACTGCCACTGTCGCTATTTTCTCCATCTTTTCCGCCCAGGAAACTATAGGAGCTGCTGCCATCATCACTGGACTTGTCACCACTTGAGCCGGACGAAGAAGACGTCGACCTTGTACTGGAGGTCGCTGGAATCATCTGAGACCGCTTCGTCGACGGTTGAATTGCCTGGGAATTTCCAAAGAGCGTTGTGCCACCAGTAAACTGACTGGCGACTTGATTGATAGACATTATTGCCATTATTACCAATGCAAACAACAGCATGAGCTGGCGAGACGATAGTTTGGGCATTAGCAAGCACGACCACAATGACTCTAGTATTCAGTTTGCAGTATGAACAAAGAGAAAGCTCATTTTTCACTAGCAAGCAGCATCCATTGCCATCTATCAAGCATTTTGCAGGTATCCGCCACCATCCATCAGGATTTTAGCAGAAAATCGTTTTCTCCATCTACGTAAATTCTATTGGAGTGTGGGCCACACGCAACAGGTTGCGCGTAGGTTGCTTTATACGGCTTCAAGTCAGCAACGCTCTGTTTTTTTGTTACATATCGTGCTATTTCCCCATTAAAGGACGCAAATCCTTTTTTCAAAGTACCCAAAAGCTCAAATGGTACTACTGATGACGCATTTCGTCATGGCTACACGATTATAAGACCCCTGACTCGTTTCATTCTCTCTCTCTCTTGCTACAGCACACGAGGGACGACAATCGTGGCAAAATGGAGACGCGACTTCACCAAATTGTGCTTGAGGAGCAGCAAAAAATGATCCAATTGGGTTTTGTAGAGACGTGTATCCCGTCCTCGGACAGCCCTACGCGCTGCAGCATCTTTATGAGTGCGAACTGGCACATTTGCCGTCGTTTATTGCTCGTAATTGTGAGTGGTAACGGAATTCAACCGGGTATTTGGAGCCGCTCGCTTGTCCTGGAGGCCGCAGAAAATCCTAATCAATATAGATCGGGCTCGATGCTCCCGTATCTACATACAGCATTGTCCAAGGGCTACGGTGTTATCGTTATGAATCCAAGCACTAATACGGTCACTAACGGAAACGAGAAGATTTCAATTCCATTCTCGAGTACACCAGAGGTGCACGTTCGTCATGTGTGGGAGACGTATGGAGTTCGAACTTCTTGCTCGCAAGTGTACATTGCTGCTTACGGACGTGGAGGATCATTGACGAAACATTTGGTGTGCACACAACCATTGCTGAGATCGAAGCTTGCGGCAATTGCATTTATGGAGTCGAGTCATCGGATTGAAACGGATGATACACAGGAAGTAAGAGGATTGTTAGAGACGAGGGCGATTAACTGGCAAAGATCGAAGGAAATTACTGGAACGCAGCTACAGGATTGCACACAACTGGGATGTTTGAGTCTCTCGGCGGGAGAACCAACGTCACCAGCTGAACAAAAATCTTCGAACACAGCCTGGACTATTGCGGCGAGTATGGACACCGTGTTTGCGTTTTTTGACAGTGCACGAGGCTCGATGCCGAACGAACCCGCGGAAGATGAACTCATGGATGAAATGAGTCGGTTGTCGCAGTATGCATATGCCGGCGCGGCTGCCTTGTTGTCGGCGCCGCATCAACAGGAGCATTTGGATGACGCAGAGTTTCATGATGAAGACGAAACGAAATCAGGGAACCATCTGGAACGTCGTACCAGTAGTGCGCGCAGCTCAAGACGCAGCATGGTCATCTCAACTTCCATGAGCGTGAACGACTTTGACTTGTTGTCGGTGGTTGGAAAAGGCGCTTACGGTAAAGTGTTTCTGGCAAAGAAGAAGCAAGGTAAAAATGCTGGTCGTGTGTATGCAATGAAAGTGCTGCGCAAGCAAGACGTTTTTAAGAAAAAGCAGGTTGAACACACAAAGTCGGAACAGCGCATTCTTAAGCATGTGGAGCATCCGTTCGTGGTGCGGCTGCGGTATGCTTTTCAGAACCACCAGAAGCTGTATCTAGTGATGGACTATTACTCTGGCGGATCGCTATTCGTGCATCTGCGGAAGGAAAAGCGCTTTTCAGAGCAACGGGCTTGCTTTTACGCGGCAGAGCTGGTGCTGTCGTTGGCGCATTTACACAGCATGCACATCATGTACCGTGATCTCAAACTGGAAAACATTCTCGTGGACAGCGAAGGGCATATTGCCATCACAGATTTTGGCCTGTCTAAGGAAGATGATGAAGGATCTACGTTTGTCGGTACCCCCGAGTACTTGGCGCCAGAGTTGCTTTGCAGCCAGCGGACATCCACATCATACGGCAATACGGTCGACTGGTGGAGCTACGGTGTACTTGTATACGAGATGATTCAAGGACATACACCGTTCTGGGACAAAAATCGCCGTCAAATGTTCCAGAACATTCTAAGCAAGGATCCGTTGTATCCTCCTGAGCACTTCTCGCCCACGGCTACCGATTTTCTGCAGCGATTATTGGTTAAGAATCCACAGCAGCGGATGGGTTGTGGAGCTGACGGCGCGCTGGAGATTATGGGGCACTTGTGGTTCAAGGGTGTCGATTGGGAAGCACTTCTTGAACGCCGAATGGAGCCACCTTTCAAGCCGGTGTCAAAAGACTCGCAAGGCAGCCGTGCACGTACTAGCAGCGCTGCGCTCATTGCTAACTTGCAGTATGTACCGAATGTCTTTAAACAGCAGGACGTAGCGGATTCGCCTGTGGTGAGTGTGCTGAGCTCATCTACCGGATCTGGCATCACGGCGATGCACTTCGATGACTTTAGTTATATGGGCAGCGATATCATTGGCTCTCGGCGCACGTCACTTTTCCGTGACAGCGACATTAAGATGGAACTTGGCGAGTAGACGCTGTCCAAGCCTGTCAATGCCTTCCAAGACCTAAGCACAGAAGTTGAAGCATGCATTGCTGCATCACGGACCTTCGAATCAGTTACACTCACCTATATCCTTTTGGATTCGAAGGACTCCTGGCACTTTGCATTATCAAGGTATGCCTACAGCCTGTACGTAGTCTGAGGGGCTTTATCGTCATGTGGATGCAGCATTACTGAGTGCAATGGGGCGACACCTCGATACACGTTTGCATTAAGTCTTAAGTTGTTGTAGCATTATACACAATAAAGCAAACACGGTTGTAAGGAGACTCGTCGAAGCAATTGATACCCACTTGAATCATAATTGTGTCCCAATTGGGATGAACCCAATGAAAAATGAATGAAAAAATACGTGGAGATTCTCAATCTTTTTAAACTGTTGTGACCCTTCCACTTGTTTACGGCACAACATCAAGTCCCATGGATTTGGCTGAGCCAATGAGGGTCTTGCAGATGGACGGAAGGTCAATGTAGTCCACCATCTCGTCCTGCTGTTTAACCTTGGCAATCTCATAGATCTGGCGCAAATGCACAGTTCCCACCACTTGTTGTCCAGGAGTCGCCGATCCTGACGTAATACCTGCCGCCTTCTTAAGGAACCACGAAGTCGGTGGTGTCTTGGTAGCAAATGCAAACGTGCGGTCCGTATAAGCCGTGAGCACCACGGGCACAGGAATATTTTCCGTCATGTTGGACGTACGATCATTGAATGCCTTGCAGAATTCCATCATATTAACGCCAAGAGGACCTAGAGCCTGACCAATGGCCGGTGATGGACTCGCTTTACCCGCCAGCACGCGGAGTCGGACAACACCCTTGATTGCGACAGACATGTTGGTTTTAGTATGAATTTGACGATTGAGAGGAGGTGGCGAGGAATTCTACGTGTAAATAGACGCTATTAGAGATCGTTAATAAGATGTAGACTATAAGAAAGTGTTAAGACGTACCAATAATATGTACTCGCGAGACTTTTTTTAGTGGCTAGCACACGATAGAGGATTATAAAATAAAGAACTTTAATTGGTGATATTACATCAGGCTTGCCCTTCCAATTGGATTGGTTCGTAATTTTAAGGTGACGCACATGGTACACAGATGTACAGTTCAAGCTCAACTACACTATGTCGGCCGTGGGTATCGAACCCGTGGCCTCCCAATTTCATAACAAATGGTAAATCAGTACACCGCAAGGTCGGTATGAGAACTTTAACTGGTTGCTGTACTACATGTGGCGATATTTTTAAATGCAAGATCGTGCATGAGACAAGTTTCTGATCTCGATGACTGTTTGTACGATCATACACCTTGACTGCAAGAGTCTTGACCATTTCGATGGGCCATACATGACTCAGTTGCTAAAATGTCACGGTGTTTGTTTTTTCCCTTGAAGCCATGATCGGAACAATTTGCATTTACTTAAAAACATTGTGCAAGACCCCACAACAGTTTATATGATACATACTCTGTAGACGGGCACTTCTACGAAGTTGCCTCGTACTACGAGCACACACTTTATGCACAAGCGAGGAAGCGGTTAGACCGTCTTACCTTCGCGTGCGAGGGTGGTTGGGAGGTTGGTCGACTGCTTAAGCAGTCGTACCACCAGTTGCCTCTCGCTTTAGCGAGAGTGCAACGAACTTCTTAACGCTTACAACACCGACGTCACGCAGAAGTTTCTCAACTTCTCGTGCGTGGTGTGTTTGTTTAAGTAAATTCAAGACTGAGATATATTTAATTAATTATAACTAAATATATGTTTAACTACTGATTGGCTATATATATATATATATAGATCGGATACGCGACTCTTTAGAAGCGTATCCTATCGCATGATCTTAAATCTAGATTTAAGATCGCAACTGACGTCCTTCTGAGACGTCGTGATGCCTAGCTTCAACTAGCGTCGTCCTTTCTTATGTGAATCCATCAATGGATATCACATTCACGAGGGTGGATCACATTTGTGTATCGCACCCAAGTGACTGGTCAAAAGTAATCATGGATACTTTTAGACCAAACATTAAGTATATTACTTAATGTTTACGTGTAACTGGGTACCCTGTTACACCATCCCTCGTTTTAGAACGATGTTTACATTTTATAAAACATCGCCTAAGAGACAGAGAGACTGGCGAGCCGTTTATAAACGCGCCGCTTTAGTCTGCTCAGTACTCATGCCACCGAAACGTGGTAAGGCTGATGGGTCGCCTGCAAAGGCACCCATGCAGTCCAGCACTAAGCGCACGCGCCGCGATTTATCGCAGCCGTCGCAAAGTGCGTCAGGCACTGGGGTGGATCTTCCATCTCACGATAATGTGGATGAAGATCCATCTCTCATTGTTGACTACAATGAGACCACACCACTGCCATCACCCCAAAGTGGCGATGAGCATAGTGCATTGATGGGACATATGTCCCCATCATTTGATGCACCCATACTTGAGGAAGCGTCTATGCTTCCTGCAAGCGAAGGTAATGCCTCGTCGTCTGCGCCTACGAGCGCAGCGACTAAGACTGAGCACGCTACTTCGAAAGGAGTAGTCGCGACTCTGTCAGATGTAACTCCTCAAGCTGATGTCTTGACAATCCATAATGGAGAGTCAGACTCAGCTGAGTGTGAGCTTAAAGCTCCACCAAGTACACCTTCGGCCTCACTAACCCGCCGTCGCGAGGGCGGCTACGTGAGTGGTGGCTTGCCACCAATGCCACCTCCATCTGAGTGGATGCACTCAGATGGGTCTAGCGCATCGCTTTTGCAGCGTGCCACTATAGACACTCATAAGTTTTATAGCGTTTATCCCTTGTGTAAAAAGCAGGGCAAAGCACTTGGTCGTGCTTTCCCAATTCCAGTCGTGCTGCATTCTAACGAAACAGCCGACGACTACGAAGCTGAACTTCGGCGCCGTGTTACCTTGCATGAAGATGCAACGAAACAGCGGTCGCAGCGAATCAGCTTCGCCATGAAGCGTGCACATGAAATTATGGGCGGTAAGCGACTCCCAATTAATTCTCGCCACGCTTCTTCTGCTAGTCCTTCCGGACCTAGCAGAAAGAAGACAGCTGGTGCTGCTTCACATAAGCAGCCACCAGCCCAGGCACGTCAACGCGCAAAGCGTCCACAGGCTCCCACGAGTCAAAGCTCGTTGGGTAACCCTTCCATTGGACAAGAATTTGGAGCTTTCGCTTCACAAACCGGTGGGCCAACAGCCTTCCAACAAGGAAGCGCGTGTTCCCATCCGTGTCCACCAACACAGGTGGCGCCCGATAGGAGTGGCGATTACGCCCACCTAATCGCGGCTGTCTACCCTGCTGTTGTTCAGTCGCAGGCTGAGTCTGCTGCGCTGAAGAGACAGGTGTCAGATCTCGAGAGTCAAGTCTCGCGACTGACTTTGGATCTGCGCGATGTGAGGACGAGGGACCGTCAGGGGTATGACCGCCTGAAGACCCGTTTGGACATCTTAGAGCGACTGGTGATGAGAGACCCGCGTCAAGCGCGGAGTCCTCCTCGATCACCGAGTCCTCTATCGCCTCGTTCATACACGGGGAGCCTCTCGGCTTCCTCGTCGCCTGATCGGTCGCGACGCTCGACTCACAGTCGGCGTCACCATCGGTCTCGTTAGACTGATGCGGATATGTGATCTCTTCTGGATCAACATACCGTTTCAGACGACCCACGTAAAATACGGGGTGCGTCTTCATATACGGTGGGAGAGTGAACCTATAATTTAGGTCTCCAACTTCTTCAACCACTGTAAAGGGCCCAATGAATCGGGGCAATAGCTTAGTAGTACCACCAGGTAATACAGAAATTGCATGTTTAGGTAGGGTAGCAGTACTTAATAGCACTTTGTCCCCCACACTAAAGTGTTCATTGTTTTTGCGACCATGCTGGTCTGCATATTGTTTTTGCTTGTCCTGTGCGCTTGCCATCGCGTCACGGACTTTACGTGTGATGGCTAATCGATCATCCACAAAGCGCTGAGCTTCGCTCACGCTTTTCGTATCCAGCTCGCCTATGACGCCTCTAAGAGGTCGTTCATGGGTCGACGCTGTTGACAACACTATAGTGTCATCATCAAGGAGCACTGGCATTTCTTGCCGTGCCTCCTTTGTGACACCTATAGGTGTCGTGACCACTGCTAAATTAGCAGTGTCACTAGGGCAACCTTGGCCCTCTTTGGCATTCGCACCGAGCGAAGTGAGGGGCCCTCCCCCACTAAGACTCGGGCTGCGTACAAACGAGACTGGCGTTCGAGGATGACGCAGTCCGTTAATGTAAAACGGTGTTTCACCCGTACTGGCGTGAACACTGTTATTAATAGCAAACTCCACGAATGGCAATTGCTTGCTCCATTCTTTAGGAGTCGCTATTGTACGCAACACATCCGCCACGACTCGATTGGCCCGTTCTGTTTGGCCATCGGTCTGGGGATGATCAGCGGTTGACATGTGGAGCTTGCTACCCAGCAGCTCAAACACATGTCGCCAAAAACCCGACGTATACGCTGATCCCGGTCCGATACTATGGACTCGGGCATCCCGTGTAGTCGATAAACTTGATCTAGAAACAAGAAGGCAGCCTCTGTTCCTGAGATCTTGGTGCTACATGGTGCCAAATGCACCATCTTGCTCAGTCTGTCTACAAAGACGACGAGCACTGTCCTGCCTTTATGGTCAGGCGGTAAGCCAAACATGAAGTCCAAACTGACCGAATTCCAACATTCAGTTGGAATCGGCAGTTGCTTCAGTGGCGCACTGTTTGAAGGTGCAGGCTTTATGCGCTGACACTCTTCACAAGAGCGAATATAGTTGGCCACCCACCGATATAGGTGGGGCCACCAAAATTCCTCTGACACTCGTAAGAATGTCTTTTCACGGCCCAGATGCCCACTAGATGGCGCATAATGGAGCTCGTGAAGTATCATTAGCTTGAGATCTGTGTCATGAGGGACATAGATTCTCAAGGGATCACAGGATGACAGTTGATGCCATAACAGGCCATCACTGTAACTAAAGCGATTTAACTTCGCTTTGAGGTGCGACGGAAGGGTAACCTTTCGTCCACCAAAATGATCCAACAGCAGGCGACAATGTTCGTCCTGACTGTAACACTCTTTTATATCGGAGGCCATTGAGCTCGTCACATGGTAGGCCTTCATGGCTGCCAATGTTGACGACTCAACTTGTGCTTTCGCACGAGACACACTATCCTGGTGTCTTGCCTCGAAGTCTGGTCTGCGCGATAACGCGTCAGCCAAGACATTCGACTTACCCGGCTTATATTCAACTTTGAAATTAAATTCAGAGAAGAATGTTAGCCATCTTGCCATTCTCGGCGAGAGGTGCGGTGAATTTATAGCGGTCCGCAGTGATGCGTGATCCGTATAAACCACAAAAGGTTCGGTGCCCAAGAGGTGCACCCGAAACTTCACAAGGGCATACTTAATTGAAAGTAGCTCCTTGTCATGCACAGGATAATTCAGCTCGGCAGCTTTTAAAAGCCGAGACTGATAAGAAATGACGCGGTGAACGCCGTTGTCATTCTTCTGCATGAGCGCGCTGCCGATTGCAAAATTGCTTGCATCGCAGACGACGCTAAAGGGCTTATCTGGCAATGCCAAGACCGGTGCCTCAACAAGAGATTGCTTCACTGAAGTGAACGCATCTTCTTGTTCCTTTGACCAAGTCCATTCTGTATCCTTTTTCAAAAGGTCAGACAACGGCTTGGTCTGCTCCACATAATTCTTGCTGTACTTATGCAAGTAATTAGCGAGCCCAAGGAATTGGCGCAGATCCTTCACATGACGTGGGACTGGCCATTCCTTTACAG